TGGCCAACGAGAGTGGACCCAAACAGGGGCGGGGGAGCCTTTCACACATGACTTTTCATGGTTTCGATCCTGAAACAGGTGAAAATATGTAGGTGAAGTAAGAAAGAGTGGGGCCAGGAGGCCCAGGGAGGGTCACCGGATGGGCTCGCCTGATCTGTTGTGGGCCCCGAGGGTCCTGGGACGGGGAACACGAGCAGAGGCGTGCGGGGCTGCCTCAGTGAGGAGGCACTGGTTCTAGATACCTACCAAACGGTGTTGTCACAGGGGGGATATTATAGGCGATTGCTGATTTCAACCACAGACGACTTTGGGGGAAAGTTCCGCTCCTGGGAGTTTCAGTTTCCACCCCTCCGAGTCCTCTCTGGCTTCTGCGAGCTCCGCCCAGGGCGTCTGCTTCGCGGGAGCTCCAGACCCAGGTCCCGCCCTGTGGAGACCCCGGAGTGGGTGCCCCGCTGCCGGCCGATACCCCCGGGCCTCCGGGTCCACAGTGTCCGGAAAAAAACGGCCTTTCGAAGACCTGGGATGACTCGCTGGTCGCGACAACGGACCCGCGGTTCCCGTGTCAGAAGAATCAAGGAAATGCGGGGCCTGGTGGGGAGAGGAGCACGAGGTTCCTGCTTCATCCTCGCCGGGACTTTATGTTTTTAAATAATATATCTAAATGGTGTGAATTATGGTAACACTGCCTTTGAGAAGAAATCATGAATTTTGGATTTAACATATAGGATGGCACCCTAGGAAAATGTTAAAAACTCAGGAGAATTGTACCCTTAAGAGTGGAATTGACTAATGAAAATATACATTACCGGCTCAGTGTGTAGACCTCACCGTCCCGCTCGAATCCATGGGGCTCCGACAGTGTGAGCCCCGCGAGGACCCCCATCCTCCTTGCCCTGGGGCCGCTACTAGGTCCTGAATGTCCAGGGTCCGGAAGGGGCGTCAAGTTGTCGCCTCCTGGATCCCGCCGCTCGCAGTCCAGGGCTCCTGGTTTATAAGCTGGGCTGGGGGCCCGGAGCATGGATGTCATGGGGCAGAGAAAACCTTGGGTTGGTTGGAAATGAAGGATGGGAGGGAGAACCAGAGAAAGGGAGAGGAAGGAAGCAGGTAGGGCCAGAGAATAAAGAGAAACCTCCGCCAGGAAAATGGGAAGACGATGACACACGCATAGCCACACACTCCACCAACTCTCCTTCTCCTGCTCTCTGCCTTGTAAGGAACGCAGGCCCCACCCCCTCCAGCCTCACTGTGTTTGGGGTCACCCGTTCCAGCGGGGTGAGGCGTCCCCTTGTGGGTGCGGTTGGCATTTCCCTGAGGGCTGTGGATACTGAGCACCTTTTCCTGGGTTCACTGCCATTTGCATTCTTCTAATGCCAGTGGGCAAGGGGAGGTCCCCAAACGCTGGTGGGACTGCGACCCCAGCCGGTGCGGGGCTCTTGGCAGCGCATGGGGAAGTGAATTCGAAGACCAGTAGGAAAATAGAGAAAGGATGGAGATTTATTGTAAAAGGAAAAGTAAATACTCAAGTAAAGGGAGTGCAGGGGAACTCAAGAGAGAGGCAGGGGCAAGGGGGCTTGGGGCTGCCACCTTTCTGGGTTTCTTCAACCAAGGGGTGGAATATTCATGAAAATTCCTGGAAGGACAGGTTTTCTCAGAACTCTGGTGCCTCGAATTTTTATACCAAATATGAGTATTCTCAGAACTGCTAGGGAGCTGACTAGTATGTTAATCAGCATGTAATGAGGTCCTACGTGAAATCTGGGTCAAATCCAGGGGCATGTTGAGTCCACTCATTCTTAGCTTGGTCCACACGCTGTTTTTCAGCATCTTATCAGCCCACAGCCGCTGCAGATATTTCAACAGATTCCTTTTGCTGGTCACCTGAAACTGCTGCCTAAAATTTTCTGTTCTTTTGAGACCACCGTGTAGTTTACCTGTCTCACATTGGAGAAATGTCTATTCAAATTCCTTGCATATATTTAAATTGGCTTACTTCACTTTATAATATTGAGTTGCAAGAGTTCTTTATATATTCAGAATAACAATCCCTTACCAGATACATGATTTTCAATTATTTTCTCTCATTCTGGAAGGTTTTTTTTTTTTAACCTTCTAAATGGAGTCCTTTTTGAAGCACAAAAGTTTTACATTTGCATGAAATGAAAGTAAACTACCTTTTATTGTGCTATTTGTGCTACTGGCTTCAGGGAAGGAGGGGTGGGCAGGAAGCCCCCTAGAGTCCCTGTCTCCCTCCACAGCAACTCAACCAGAAAACCCATTCACCATTCATACAGGCATGTTATCACACACACACACACCCACACACACAGAGACATGCAGGGACAGTCTCTCACACACACTCACACCACGCAGGCACACACACTCACACAAACACACACACAAACACACACACAAATGCATGCAGAAATACAGACACAGCCATGCACATACATGGACACACACAAAGACACACAGAAACACACGGGAGAAACACGCGTATCATCTTGAGAGTTGTCATGTTGGGCCCATCCTGCCCACGCACCTTTCGCCTCGCCAGCTGTCTCCCAATTCATGAAGGAGTTCTGAAGCCCTCAAGCAGGCAGTCACTGTGTGATCTGAAACACTCAGACAGCTCTTCACTCTGACCTATCTTCCTGGTCCCCCCGGGATGAAGCAGCGTCCTGTTGGTTTTCACTGTAGCAGAAGAGAATTCTCCCTGGGGCAGAACTGCTGGGCCACCAGAGAGTACCCCTCTGCTCTTTGCCCTCAGGGCATCTTGATCTGCAGGGCAGAAGGAACTGCCCCAATCCTCAAAAATGAACTCTTTATGGATTCCTCTTCCACCATGATGCCAATGTCTCTTTTGTCTTCTCTGTAGCCCTTGGCTGTGGATCCCAAGCTGTGTGCCAAGGAGCTCAGGGCACAAACTGGCTGTGAGCAAACCTTCTGGGCTTACTGAACTATTTGTAAGATGAGCACTGCCATCTGCTGGAAAACACTACAAAGTACCAGTCTAAGGTATTTTATAGTTTCAACATCAGACTATGCACCATTACAAGTTACAGGTGTGCGCCATCATGCCTGGCTAATTTTTGTATTTTTAGTAGAGATGGAGTTTCACCATGTTGGTCAGGTTGGTCTCAAACTCCTGACCTCATGATCTACCCACCGCGGCTTCCTAAAGAGCATTTGTTCATGTTTGCTGGCCACTTGCAAGTCTTCTTTTGAAAAGTGTCTGTTCACATTCTTTACTTGAGATTTTGTTCTTGCTAGTTAAGTTCCGTGTAGATTCTGGATATTAGAGCTTTGTCAGACACACAGATTTCAGATATTTCTCCCATCCTATAGGCTGTTTACTGTGTTGCTAATTTTTTTTTTTTTTTTTTTTTTTTTTTTTTACTGTGGAGAAACTCTTCAGTTTAATGAGTTCCCATTTGTGAATTTTTGTTGTTGTTGTTGTTGCAAATGCTTTTGGTGTCTTCTTCATGATATCTTTGTCAGGTACTATGTCCAAAGTGGCACTTCCTAGCTTATCTTCCAGGATTTTTATAGTTACATTTAAATCTTACATTTAAATCTTTAATGTCGAGTTATTTTGCATATATGGTGAAACGTAGAGGTTCAGTTTCATTCTTCTGCACACGGCTAGCCAGTTATCCCAGCACCATTTGTTGAATTAGGACTCTTTCCCCATTGCTTGTTTTTGCTGATTTTGTTGAAGGTTAGAAGGTGTGAAGGTTTCTTTCTGAGCTCTATTCTGTTCCACTGATCTAAGTGTCTATTTTTGTACCAGTTCCATTCTGTTTTGATCACCGCAGCCTTATATTATAGTTTGAAGTCAGGCAATGTGATGCCTCTGGCTTTGTTCCTTTTGCTTATCATTATTTTGGCTATTTGGGCTCTTTCTTAATTCCAAATAACTTTTAGATTAGATTTTTCTAATTCTGTGAAAAATGACATTGGTATTGATAGAGATAGTGTTGCATCTATAAATTGCTTTTGGAAGTATGGCCATTTTAACTATATTGATTCTCCAACCCATCAGCATGAAATATTTTCCCATGTATTTGTGTTGTATCTGATTTTTTTCACCCATGTTTTGTAGATTCTCTTTTTCCATACAAAATCTGGTAGAATCACTTATTTATTACTCCAGATCATGGAGGAAAAATGAAATAACATTAATTCTCTACTGAGTAATACAACAAAATTCTAAACTCAGTAGCTTTTAGGGAAATATAACTTTTTATTTAAATAACAGTACAGAGCAATAAATTACTAAAGGATACAATCATTAATATACATTTTTTGTTATTAAATAATTAAATAATTCTCTTTCAGGGTATGGAAAGAATCCCTGGAGGTCTGAAGTCTAACATGATTGTTTTCCTGACAATATCATTTGCAAGAAAGAGATTGTCTTTCAAAGAAGTACTTGATTTTCCAAACAAAAACAGAAGAAAGAAAATGCTGACATATCTTGTTTAGTCAGCCAGAAGTTTAAGTGCAAAAATTCCATCAGGTAGCACCAAGAGAAAATAGCATAATATGTTAGGAATAACTCCTGGTAAATTTGTTGGCAAAAAGAATCAAGGCAGTGAATGAGCTGTTGGGTCCATGGTGTCATCACCATCTCCTAGAGGCCTCTGGACATACACAGTAGGTAGTGGGCAAGTCGTCAGCCAGAAGGATGAGTTTGATCGAGACCCTGCTCACAGGGGCTTTTTGGTATCATCTTTTTTTTTTTTTTTTTTTTTTTTTTTTTTTTTTTTTTTTTTTTTTTGAGACGGAGTCTCGCTCTGTCGCCCAGGCTGGAGTGCAGTGGCGGGATCTCAGCTCACTGCAAGCTCTGCCTCCCGGGTTCAGGACATTCTCCTGCCTCAGCCTCCCGAGTAGCTGGGACTACAGGCGCCCGCCACCTCACCCGGCTAGTTTTTTTGTATTTTTTGGTAGAGACGGGGTTTCACCGTGTTGGCCAGGAGGGTCTTGATCTCCTGACCTCGTGATCCACCCATCTCGGCCTCCCAAAGTGCTGGGATTACAGGCTTGAGCCACCGCGCCCGGCTGGTATCATCTTTAACCTTCAGAAGGGACACAAATGTTGGTTTAATAGGCAGAGAACCCGGATCACTTTTCCAGGGTAAACTTTCCCTAGTCACTCCATGTCTCAGATCCCCCTGCACTAAGGGACCTATTTTTCCCTTGAGGCCCAACCCTGGCGACTGCAGCTTGGACCAACCTCTTTCCTCCTTTGTCACATCACAGAGTCAGTCCAGGCCCTGCACCTGACCAGGGCATGGAGTGGAGGGGCCCACAGGTCTGAAGCTGGTAGTGATGGGTCCGCACCCTCACTCAAGGCCCTCTCTATGATCTGATGAGAGGGCCTAAAACATGGCAAGGAGTGGGGCAGACATCCAAAGACAGGGTTCTGTATTCCTGTGCCCTTGGCCTTGGGTCGGCCTGCAGGCAAACATCCTTCTTTCTCCTTCTTCTTGAGCCTTTCCTCACACTGGGAGCAGCACCCATAGCTCTGAAGGTATCTGTCCCTGTTCCACCTTATCCATTCCTGGTCCAGCCCAGTGGTGCCCGTGGAACCCCAGCAGCACCTCAGACCCTCCTTCCCCTGAATCCACTCTGCTCCTGGCAGGGCTATCAGCGGGCTCAAGATCTGGGGTGTGCAGGAGGGTGATGGCAGGGGAGCTGCCTCAAACCCCACGGGTCCATGTAACTGACTTTTTAAATATCCTTCTCTTGAGCAGCCTCTACTCTTTATCTTCCACCTTAATTCCTGGAACCCAAGCCACTTTCTGTAGGAAGGCAGCCCTGTACTCCCACTTTTTTCATTAGGTGTACCAAGGCTCTCCCAGCCCCCTCCTCCTGGGATTACACCCAGATCTCTCTCTTAGCCTCAGAGATGGAATCCCCCTTCCCTTTCACATCTCATGTAAAACTACCATGATGCACCTAACTCAATTAAGAGGACTGCCCATATCTGAATTCCTGCTGCCTGCAGGCCACACACCCTTCCTGAATAGGAACCTGCTCTGAATCATGCCCGAACTTGTTAAACCTCAAGCTCAACAGACTCTGAGCCTTGGTATGGGCCCTTCCTTTTCCCTCTGGACTCTGAAGGTGAGAATCCATCAGTAATCAGGAATGAGCTGCCCAGGTCATTGCCAACAGGTGACACAAGGTCTCATTCACCTGTCTCATGTCAGGATGAGAAGGTCCCAGCCACAGGGAGGGGTGGGACTCTGGGAATTCTCTTTTCCCGTCCTGCCTCCTCACCCACCTGCTCCTTGTTCAACTTGCAATTCTGCCCACAGTACCTGTCACTCTAAACGACTCTCCTCAGATGCCAGCTAAGATGAAGCAGCAGAGGATGATGAGGAGGCAGCAAAGGATGAGGGTGGTGGCCGTGGCCCTGAGTTGGGTTGTGCCTGAGGACATGGTGAGTGATGCTGAAATGGAAACACAAAAGTGACAACCCTTGTCCAGGCCCCAAATCTGAGGAGACACCTCCTCAGTTCCAGCCACCCTAGGTCATCCTGGAAGGCAGAAGTTTTGTCCCCTCCCCGCTGGTGTGGGGCAGCCGGTGTGACAGGTCCTGGGTTGGGAAGGGAGAGGGGGTGTCCCCTGTCCTCAGGGAGCTCACACAGCTGCTGAGGGAAGCAAGGTGACAGCACAGCCCACCCTCCTGCTGTGGTGGAAAAGGAGGTGATGCTCCAGAGTTGGGGAGGGGAGGGTCTCTGGGCTGGCGTTGGAGGTGGTTTTGATGGATTTCCAGAACCAGACGAGGGAAAGGAAAGGAAAAGTGATTCTCAAAAGAGGAAACACTAAGGAGAAAAGTCTGAAAACACAGTGACACCTGCAGTTTCAAGGTTGGTGAGAAATCCACAGTGCGGGGAATAGAAGCAAGTGCAATGAAGAATAGGAGTCAGGAGGGAGAAGGGAGAGGAGGATGGGAGAGCACAGGCACGCCAGCACCCCCAGGAGGAGCGCCCCATGAGGGGGTCATTTTAACATAAACGTGTATACTGGGATGACTGAAGCTGAACTCAAGAACTAGTTTCTCGAGATCACCATTTCTGATCTCATTCCAGATCCCCGTTTCTTTCTGCTGTTACCTCCTGCACTTGGCTCCAGGGTGCTGTCCGTGCCCGTCAAGAAGTCCTTTAGCCATCTTGTGCAGTCTCCCATTGAGATGTAATGGAAGGACATGGTCACATCCTTGTCACTCTCCCACTTTTCTTTCATCTTTCTGGCTCCAGGATGAACCGTTGTCCACATTCTGTTCTCTGAGTCAAAGAGGAGGAAGACCTGTCCATCGAAACCAAACTGCCAAGATCCACTGCGGTGTCCTTCGGCTTTCTGCTCACAAGACACTCGGGCCTGCAGGGTGAGGGGTTCTGCCCCCATCAGAGAGAGATCAGCTCTGGTCTTGACACATGTTGAGCCCCCATCCTGCTCTGCTTACAATTTCCCGGCCTTACTCTCTCTGCCACACCTTGCCTTGCCTCTAGACCTCTTAAGGGGTTAGATGACCTTCCATTTGTTTTTCGTTTTTTTTTTTTTTGAGACAAAGTCTCACTCTGTTGCCCAGGCTGGAGTGCAGTGGCACAACCTCGGCTCACTGCAGCCTCTGCTTCCTGGGTTCAAACGATCCTCCTGCCTCAGCCTCTCAAGTGGCTGGGATTACAGGTGTGCACCACTATGCCCAGCTAACTTTTGCATTTTTAGTAGCGACAGGGTTTCACCATGTTTGTCAGGCTGGTCTCAAATTCCTGACCTTGTGATCAGCCCACCTCAGCCTCCCAAAGTGCTGGGATTGTAGTCATGAGCCACCGCGCCCAGCCCCCATTTGTATTTTTACGTGAAAACTATAAATGCCTCTAACCTACCACTGTATCTGCTCCCTCCTGTCCTGGGCCATCTGAAACTTACCTCTGGGTGTGTAATTCTCCAGCTGAATGTCAAGCAGTTGCTCTGTGAGCATGTCCACCACCTCTCTCAGTACTGGGTTCTGTGCTTTCCAGGCCTTTGTGACACTTAGTTTCTTCCCCAGGGGACTGACGGGTGTGACTATCTTGTTGCCACAGTCATAGTGAAGAAAAGTCTTTTTATCCACCTGGCCTTGAACCGCACACCATCGTCGTCCAGGTCTAAATTTAGGGATGATGGTGATTTCATAGCAAAGAGAGTGAAGGTCTGTGGAGAAAGGCAGGTGAGGGGTGGGTGGGGAGAAAGAGACCCCTAGTTAGCCCTCCTTCACACTGTGACAATAAGAGGATGCCTTTTGCAGGCTGGGCTGGCCCAGGAAGGAGTGCCCCCTCCAGAACTGTGGTGTCCACAATACTAAGGCGAGTGCTCGCCCCTTGCATGAGGACAAGGAGGAGGTGGAGGAGGAAGAGGAGGAGGTCTCTGCCTGCTGAGAAACCACATGTCCCCAGACATGTCCCACTGCCCCTCTGTCCACATCAGTCAACATACGACCTTGCTAGAGAGGTGCCAGGGCTGCTAGAGGAGGAAGGGCCTGGATGCCAGAGGATCTTCAGCAGCAGCCTGCGTTGACTGTGGGAGGTGGGAGAGGGTGTGAGGGATGCCCCTGAGGGTGCTGGTACATGGTGCAATAGAGTGAGGATGGGACCCCATTGGATAAAGAAGAATTGATTATCATGGTCACAGGATTTAACATGTTGGCAAAGTCCCCAGTGATGGTGCACATCTGCTATGAGGATGCCTTCCTGAAACCCTGGACAAAGGGATGGTCCACGCAGCAAGAAAGGGAAAATCTGAAAGTCTAAGGCAGGTAGTAGAGGGAGGGATCACAGGATCAGAGAAGTGCCCATGCCAGAGGGGTCTGAGTGTGAAAATCCAGAACAATGTCCATCCACTGTGCTCATGGGAAACCTGTAGGACTCCTGTTTACCCAGCATATAAAGAAGGCCCCATGAGAAGACACCAAAATGGAATGAAGCTTAGGGATGCCTATTGCTGAAGGCCAGGGTTGGGGGTAGGAGATGCTCTTCCTGAAATGGGCTCCCAGTAGTAATGGGATGAAAAATTCTGAAATTACAGATTCCAGCTGGAGGCTGTCAACTGTCAGGAGCAAGGAGGGTGCAATGATGGAAATGATTAGAGAAGTCACAATGCCAGCTGGGAACCTCAGTCATACAAAGCTATGCCCATGACTCATAGAACAAAGGGGTCCAAAATCTAAAAGAGCTAGAAACTCAACCTGGATACTGCTGGATTTAAATAATTACAAGAAACAGAGATAAAACAAATGATGGATGACCAGGAGGCTGAAAGTAGCCAGTCCTTCAAAAACAAGGATAGTTTGTCCAATTTGCAGAATAAAGCCACTTCTCAGACCATGAACCCATGACTAGAAGAAGACACCAGTTTCCACTGAGGAAGGACCCTTTAACCCCGCAGCAAGTACAATGGGTCCTTGTGGCCTTCTACAAAGATATTTTGGCCACTAAAGTTTTCTGTGAAAGGCAATTTTATAAATATGCAAAGGTGTGCAGGGAATATATTCTCCATTGTAACTACTCAACTCTGCTGTTGTAGTTCAAAAGCAGCCATAGACAATCCATGAATGATGAGCGAGGCTGGACGTGCCTTAAGTGCCCGATGACCCAAGGCCCCCTAAGATCCTAGAGGTACATGTGGTTGCAATATCTAATTGGAGAATCACAACGAAGATTCCATGTGAATGTTCAGAGGCAAGGCAATGCCACTCACAGCAAGGAAATCTCAACATTAAACAGTGGCTCCTGTAGAGTACTGTGCCTTGGCAAAGATGGGGCCTTCGGCAATGCGAGGGCAGTGACCATCCAGCCTCAGAGCTGCCCATTATGGATAGACTCCTCACCCTCTAGGTCATTAGGAAGATAGGCCTGGCAGTGAGAAGACACAGGTGGGTCTCCTGGGATGGGCAGGAGCAGGGCCACAGAGAACCAAAAAGCTGCACAAGCAGTTGGCCACGATCTGCAGGACACCACATGGCTGTACCCCCTCACCCTCAGCTCATACCTGAGGCTTTAGGGAGGGTCCCTGATGGCCCCTGTAGACCATAGATGCCACTCAGCAGCAAAGGAGGGAAAAATAAGCCCCCAACTATGGCACCCCCACTGCCATCACATCCACACCACCCAGAAGCCACAGACGAGGTAGGACCACCTTCTACTCTCCAACTGACACCCGAGACATTACTTGGAGATGACACCCTAAGGGATGGGACACTGTAATCCCCTCATCTGGGATCAGCAACCTAGGACAGGGTCTGAATCTCGTCCCCCTCATTTGCAGGTTGCCATTTCCTGCTGCTGCTCTACAAAGGGACCGGACTGGACACAGAGAGCAGAACCCAAGGACGGCAAAGATCACAGGGCATCCTTCCTCCCTTTCTAAAAAGGCTTTGCTGGCCCCTGTCTACACAGTGACTATTCTCTACCAGGCTGGCTCCCCAGTAGGAAGAACAGGCTTCATTAGAAAGAACAGGCGGGTCTGGGCCCCAAGGGCAGAATGGGGCGCCTCTAATCACCAGAGTTCCCAGGGTCATTATGGAGGGAATGGTGCTTCCCATGCCCTCTGCACAGGTTCCGAGGGGAGTTTGGGGTGTGTTTGCTGGGGTGTGTCCTCAGCCAAGAGGCAGAAGGTGCCACGTGGTGTAGGAGGTGGTGAGGGCCCCTTCATGGATGGGGAGACCAGCTGGGGTGACCAGCTGGGCTGAGGTGGGAAGTAAGAGGATGTGACCTGGGTGGTGGCAGTGGATGGTGAGGGGAGGGGTGGGGGGTGTCTGCTGAGCCCCTGGGTGCAGGTGAATGTCTGCAAGAAAAGTGCAGGGGAAAATTCAAGGGCAAGGAGCCCTGGGGGTGCTGGAGGGTTTGAGTGGGTGAGAGCAGAGCAGGCCTGTGGCTGGTGGGTGTGTCTGTGATCGCGTCCCTGTGGAACCGCCTTCACCCCTGTCCTGTCCCCAGCTCGGGTTCCAGGGGCTCTGACTTTTCCTTCCCGAGGGCGGGTGGGACTGCCAGGCTGCACCAGGGATCCCCACCCCACCTCGCTCTCGGCAGCCCTCTGGCCCCTCCACCCTCCTGTCAGCCTCCTTTCCTCCCCCGCTCCTTTTTGCTTCTCCCCTGTCAAGAAGCAGCCTCGGGGAGTGGACCCGGCAGGGAGGAGCCACCGACCGGAACTGAACGGGGGCGCAGTTCGGGGAGATCTCCTCCGTCCTTCCCGAAGCCTCCCCTCCTCTAAAAACCGCTGCAGTTCACAGCCCCTCAGGTTTGGCCCCCGCCTGGCTTAGGCTCCATCCACGAACTCACCAGCTCGCCCAGCCCGGGACCAGAGCGACGGCAGGAGCAAAAGCAGGAGGCACAGAAGGATCTTGGTAGTGGCGGCCGCTGCCATTGGGGACCCAGAGCGCTGGGGATGAGAGACTTGATGGAAGGGGAGCCTGGAAGATGAATCCTGTCAAGAGTGCAAAGCTGGCTTAAGGCGGCTTAAGGCGGCGCGTTCCATGTTTCCCGCCGTCGTCACAGCGGCTAGAAATATGGTTGGCTGCCCTGCCGGCGTCCCTCCCCTTTGCCCTAGCCTTCGGGTTGGAGTTTGGATGTTGCCCCGGCCACTGCGAGGACACGGTTCCTTCCACAACAGACTCATTTAATCATCACAGCATTTTTTTGAAGGTGAAGAAACTTGCAGAGGAATACTCAGCGGCGGCGGCGTCTCCCTGTCCCCGACTGGGCCCGCGACACTCTCCCTTCCTCCGCTGGCGCCGCGGTGTCCCTGAGTCACCCCGCTCTGGGCGCAGCCATGGGCCTGATCGCGTTCCCTCCACTACTTCCTCAGTTCCCAGTGGACGTGGTTACAGTCTGGGCTAGGTTTTATTATTTATTTATTTAGAGACAGAGTTTCGCTCTTGTTGACCAGGCTGGAATGCAGTGGCGTGATCTTGGCTCATCGCAACCGCCGCCTCCAGGGTTCAAGGGATTCTCTGGCCTCAGCTTCCGGAGTAGCTGGGATTACAGGTGCCCTCCGCCACGCCCGCCCGGCGAATTGTTTGTATTTCTGGTAGACATGCGATTTCACCGTGTTGGCCAAGCTGGTCTCAAATTCCTGACTTCAGGTGATCCACCCGCCTGGGCCTCCTAAAGTGCTGGGATTACAGGCGTGAACCACCGCGCCTGGCCCGGGCTAGGTTTTATTACAGGAACAGCAGGCAAGGTTTCAGAGGTTTAAAACAACATATAGTACACTAAACAATTGGTCAAGATGGTAAATTTTATCTTCTATGTTTTCACCAAAATTAAACAGCTTAAAAAATTTCTTAAATATTTATGTATTGCTCCTGCTCTGCCCAATGCAGATTGGTCAAAAGAGTCTACTCATTGAAATCGAGGACAGCATTGAGGACCTCGTCCCTAAAATCTCAACCTGTGACACACTTGCCGATTTAGAAAGCTCCTCAGAGAGATGGGCCCTGAGCTCCCAGTTCAGCAGCTTCCCTGGCCCAGGTCCAGGGATGGCACAGGAGGCTCAGCAGAGCAGGTTGTAGAGAAAGTTCCTGGTGGTTCCCCACTGTCAGCGCATTCTGCTGGCCTGTTCCCCCCAGGCAAAGGGCCAGCCACCCTTCAAAGCTGGACACAAATACCCCTTCCCACGTGTGTCCCCCATCTCCCCACAATACAGAACACCCTCCTGCTCCCTGAGACCTGGATCCACAGTGAGCGCATCTGCATCTCCCTGTGTGACAATTGCTTGCACAATTTATGTGTGTGAGCATGTGTGTGACAGAGTCATGCTCTGTCACCAGTCTGGAGTGCAGTGGCACGATCATAATTCACTGAATCTTCAACCTCCTGGGCTCAAGGCTTTCTCCCCACTCAGTATCGGAGAGTGTGGGGCGAGGTAGTCTGAGCCACTAGCAGAGCCATCCTCTAGTTACTGTTTCCTATGCCCTGGCAGATGCTTCAGTAGTATTCACTAGTGAATTTACCATGCCCTGTGTTAGATTGGTCTGGGGGCCAAGTGAGTCTTGGCTATAGTGCAACTGGGGCGAGTCATTCTGCCAGGATTAGGAACTGTGTTACTTGGGAAACTTTTCTCATCACCCACCCCAATCCTGTCCCAGATGGGAGGAGCAGTGAGTGCTGTGTCCAGGCTCCCTGCCTTCCCAGTGCTCCCAGCATCACACCCAGCTCCTCCCCAGATGGTGTGGGGTCTGAGCTCTGCATGTTCACCATGCTCCCACCATTAGCTCCCCATCTTCACTGCCCTCCCAGTATTTTCCCAGCCCCTTCAGGGTCACTGCCTGACCAGGTGGGGGTTGGGTGAAGAGGCAGAGGTCAGGACAAACCCCTGGTCCAGTCTGACTTTAGATTCCTCTCTGAAATGCGACTGCACACCATCCTGCTCCTCTGGCAACCTCAGTTAGGATCATCTGTAGGGCAGTGTAGAATCTGGGCCAGTGATTACTAATTCCTGCCACCATGGCTTTTCAAGTATATTGATTTTTTCCTAAAACGGATAAACAGACTAGCAATAAGTTATGGAAACACTGTTTTCCTTACTAACAATAGAGATGTGATTATGTATCAATTCTGGTTTTTAAAACAAATATAAGCCCATAGGCACTCTATTGAACGCAGATTCTATCTCAACATAGCACACGTTGAAGATCTTCCAATACCCTCACATACAGATTCTTTTCCTTTTTATTTTTGCACAACATTACACAGAATGACTGCATCACAACAAAAGTAACCAGAGTCTGTGTCTGAAGATCCAGATGGTCTCCAGTCAGTTACTTTTACAGACACGAAATGCTGCAGAAACTGTGTTTGTATGAATTTCAATTCAATTGTGTAGAATAGATTTCCAGACACGGAATTGCTGTGCAAACTAATGCACCTTTAAAGCATCTCATGTCACAGGATGGCAATGCTGGTGACACTCTTGTCTGTGATTGTGAAGACCTAGCTTGGACAGAGGAGGGTGAAACATTCACTGTAGAAGGAGAGGAAACTGTTACAGGCTTCCTGAGGGACAGGGTGACAGGGTTCATAGAGTCAAAACTATCCAAGTCTGCATTAAGAATATGTATGTATATGCGTTTGAAATGGTATAAACACTCCCTGGAAAGATGAGAAGAATCAAAAAAACTTTCCTCCCAGACATGTGGCCAATGAGAGTGGACGCAGGCAGGGGCTGAGGAGCTTTTCACACATGACTTTTCATGGTTTCGATTCTGAAACACGTGAAAATGTGGAGGCGAAGTAGTACGGAAGAGTGGGGCCGGGAGTCCCAGCGACGGTCACAAGGTGGGCTCGCCTGATCTGTTTGGGGCCCCAAGGGTCCGGGGATGCAGAACCCGGGCAGCGGCGTGCGGGTCTGCTACAGAGATGAGACATTTTTTCTAGATATTTACGCAACGGTGTTGTCACAGGGGGGATATTATAGGGGATTTTTTATTTCAACCACAGATGACTTTCGGGGAAAGTTCGCACATAGAGTTTCAATTTCCATCCTTCTGCGTGCTCTCCGGGTTCTGCGCGCTCCTCCCAGGACGCTCGCTCCGCCCGAGCTCCGGACCCGGGTCCTGCCCGATGGAGACTGCTGAGTGGGTGCCACGCTGCCAGTCGATGCTCCCAGGCCTCCGAGTCCACAGCCTCCGAACAAAACGGCCTGGGAGGACTCGCCAGTCGCGGCAAGGAACCGTGGGAGGACTCGCCAGTCGCGGCAAGGAACCGTGGCAGGAGGACACAGGAAATGCAAGCCCGGGTGGGGTGAAGAGCACGAGGTTCCTCCTATATCCTCGCGGGGACTTTGCCACCGGCTCAGTGTGGAGACGTCCCCGTCCCGCTAGGATCCCTGGGGATCCGACAGTGTGGCCGCCGCGAGGACCCGCATCCTCCTTGCCCTGGGGCTGCTGCGGGAGGGCGCCCGGGGCGCACTAGGTCCTGAGTGCCCAGGGTCCAACAGGGTCTTCCCGTTGACGCCTCCCCGACCCCGCCGCTCGCGGTCCAGGGCTCCTGGTTTCTCCACTGGGCTGGGGGCTCGGAGCAAGGACGTCGTGAAGCAGAAAAAACCTTGGGATGGTTGGAAATGAACGATGGGAGGGTAAACCAGAGAAAGGGAGAGGAAGGAAGCAGGTAGAGCCAGAAAACAAAGAGAAACCTCCGCCAGGAAAATGGAAAGATGACACAAGCACAGCGCCTACACTTTATCTACTCTCCATCTCCTCCTCTCCACCTTGCAAGGAACGCAGGCCCCACCGCATCCACCCTCACTGTGTTTGGAGTCACCCACTCTAGCGGGGTAAGGCGTCCCCTTGTAGATGCTGTTGGCATTGCCCTGAGGGCTGTGGACACTGAGCACCTCTTCCTGGGCTCACTGACATTTGCATTCTTCTTCTGATGTCAGTGGGCAACGGATGGTCCCCAAACTCTGATGATAACTCGACCCAGCTGGTGTCGGGCTCTTGACACTGCCTGGGGAAATGAATTCTAGGACCAGTGGGAAAATAGAGACACGACGGAGATGTTTTTGTAAAAGGGAAAGTACACACTCACGTAAAGGGAGTGCAGATGAACTCAAGAGAGAGGCAGGTGCAAGGGGGTTTGGGGTTGCCACCTTTCTGGATTTCTTTAACCAAGAGATAGAGTATTCATGAAAATTCCTGAAAGAAGGTGGAGATTTCTCAGAACTGTGGCGCCACCCATTTTTACGCCAAATATCGGTGTTCTCAGAATTGCCAGGACACTGGTGGGTGTGTGTTTAGTATGTTAATGAGTGTATAATAGGGTCCTAGGTGAAACCGAGGTCAAACCCAGGGCCACGCTGGGTCCACTCATTCTTAGCCAGCTTGGTCCATACTCTGTCTTTTTGGATTTTATCAGCCCACAGCCTCTGCAGATATTTCATCAGATTCCTTTTCCTAGTCACCTGAAACTGCTGCCTAAAATTTTCTCTTCTTTTGTGAGCACACTGAATTATACCTGTCTCACTTTGGAGAAACATCTTTTTGAATTCTTTGCATATATTTAATTGGGTTATTTTGCTTTATAATGTTGAATCTTTATATATTCAGGATACCAGTCCCTTCCTAGATACACGATTTTCAAATACTTTCTCTCATTCTAAGTTTTTTTTAACCTTATGAATGGAGTCCTTTTTGAAGCACAAAAGTTTTACATTTTCATGAAATGAAATTAAACTACCTTTTATTTTGCTATTTGTGCTATTGACATATACAGTACTTAAGAAGCATTTGCCAAATCCGGGATCACAACATTTACTGCTCTGTTTTCTTCTGAGACTTTCATTGTTTCATGTCTTAGGTGGACATCTGCCATTCATCTAGAGCTAGTTTTTGTGTGTGCTGTAAGGAAGGGGTCCGCCTCATTCTTCTGCATGCACCATCCAGTTGTCCCAGCACCATTCACTGTAGCGTAGGATGCATTTGCCCAACCTCCTGTCCCTCCCTCCTGCACTCGCGGTCAGAACTGCCTCCTGCTAATGGTTCTCCCAGGATTTCCACCAATGAAATCCCCTCATGTGAATCCCATGTAGGCACCTGCTTCTCAGAGGACCTGGTCTGGTCTAAGGAGTGGATTCACCAGAGGAAATGGTATTTCATGAGATGGAACATTCTGGGAATACTGACACTCAGCAGACCCTTTAATTCATCAAAAGTGAAAAATCG